CTGCAAAAAAAAAAAAAAAAAAAAAAGAAACTGCAAAGAACGGCTGCTGGGGGCTTAGCCAGGGGTGGCAAACTGGCCATTTGTGGGCTGGATCTGGCTCTCAGATGTGTTTTGTTTGGCATGCACAGTGTTTTAAAAGAAATTTGAACCAATTTTACTTGAAAACTTGATGTAAAAATGGGAAGATCTGGTCACACACTGCCCCATTCCTGTGTGGCAGCGGCTAAATGGACAGAGAAGCTGCTCTATTTTTTGCCTTTCTCTGGTTTGCTGCAGACCCCCACACCTCCCTAGTACTCTTGATCCTGCTGGCACTGTTGATTTTTGCTTTCCTTACGACCTGCTGCCTTCGTTTACTTCGACTGCCTGGTCCTTACTATAGCCATGTGCACTCAAGACTGCACTCAATCTACTTGGATTAGGTACATTAAAGGTGCCCACAAAAGTCTGTTGATAACAAGATGAGAGTTGACCGTGATGGTAGTCTTCTGAATTGATTTCGTAAATCAGCATGCTGTTGATGGCAATTCCTGGCTTATTTAGTGTTCTGTTTTCTTTATGGAGGACGCTTGTCTTTGGCCCTCTGCTAGTCACCTTCCCAAACCCATAACTTGAAAGTGTCTGTTTCTGGGTCATTCCACAATACAACTGCCCTTTCGAGCCAGTAGCTGAGCAGTTTCATTGGGTGCTGAGTTTGTGTGTGGGGTTGCTGTAGACCCTGATGCCTCGGGCAGGGGTTGGCCCAGCTGGGATTTGCGTGGGGGGCTGAGTTATTCCCTCTCTCCTCAGCAGAAGGTACTGGAGCAGCTTGCTTCTTGGGGAAAAGGCCTTTATTTGGGTTGGGTATTTTTACATTTCACAACCACCCTAAATTGGTGGCATATGCCCTGTACCCGACAGTGATGCGCTGTCTTCACAGGCCCCCGCAAACACGCACCATGCAGGCTGTGAAAATAACAAGCCGTTTTTAGGGCATATTTGCATGTCCTGTCCCTCGCTGTCAGACTGCAGCAGTGTCGTGGGGGCGAAGAGGCAGATGGAGCAGCAGAGACTGTGCTGGCGCAGAGGAAGGCCAGCCCTGCACTGGCAACCGACGTCCGAATGCTTCCTAGGTCAGACCCAAAGGTTGGGGAGAGCTACTTCTCAGAGCAACTACAAACCAGAGGGGGTGGGAAGAAACTCGCAGCTGACAAACCCATATTCTGAAGATTTATTTGCATATGGCAAACTGCCTTTAGTGGATTTTCACATCAGCATTTTAGACTAGTAAAAGTTTCTTGAATAATAATAAGATACTAGCTCACATTTACTAAACATTTAATATGTACCAAGGCCCTGTGCTAAGTGCTTAGCATGCATGATCTCATTTATTCCTTACGCAGTCCTGGTGATCGGGTTATCCCCATATTAGAGAAGAGAAATTTGAGTTTTAGGGAGGAGGTTAAGTTACTCAAGGTCACACTGCTGGGAAGTGGCAGCACTGTGGCCTGGGTGGTGGTGATGGTGGTGGTATGATCGTGGTGATACCATACCGACCACACCTCACTTGTGCTGAGCTAAGTACCAGGTACTGTACTGGGCATTCTTTGTGAAGTACCTCTTTTATCTCACACAAGAACCGTATGAAGTCATTATTGTTGTTGTTGTACTCACATCACAGATGAGGTCAACAAGGCCTACAGAGGTCCAAGGTCACTAGCTGGGAAATGAGCCCAGGCAGCCTGATTTTAGAGCCAAAGCTTTAACCTTATGCTCTGCTGTCTCCTGTGCCTCTAACTAGAGCTCTAGCAGGCTGCAGAGGCCAGATGAACCCGCCCCCAGAACACTTGATCATTTTGATGACGTGACCCGATTAGTGCTGAGCCCTGCATTTCTACAGCCTCATCGTCTCCAGGCCCCAGAGATTGTGTGGGCTGAGCTGCTATGTAGGGAGCTCTGTCGGAGCTGGCTCTTGGTCTGTCCACCTCACAGAGGCCAGTGGTCTCCGGGGCCATGTCCAGTCGTATGGAGCAGTTTAGTAAAAGAGCATTGGAGGAATTATGTTAAACAACAGGTTTTGTAAATTATAAAGGGCTTTGTGCTGATGTTTTTATTATATGGTTGACACATAATGTTAAACTGTTTTGGTGCCAGCTGCTTGCCTGCAGTTTATTTGTTCAAGCGATATTTGTTAAACATCTACTATGTGTCAAGCACTGTGCCAGGCACTGGGAACTGAACTACAAACAGAGTAGACAAAGTTCCCCTCTCCTGGAGCTGTATATTGTGGTGAGGGTATCCCAAAATAAGCACATTAATATACAGTGTAAAAGGTCAGATAGTGATGAGTACTGTAAAGAAAAATTAAGCAGACCAAGGGGATGGACAGTGGCAAGACTGCTCACCTGGATGGTTGGCCAGGGACTCTGGGGACGTTATGTTGGGGGTTATGGGACTTTTAAAGCTGTTGCTTTTTTCTTGCCTCTTCTTCTTTCTCTTCCAATATTTCTTTTCGAAACAACTTTGCTCTCTGGCTTTCTCCAGAGCTTTCCTTCCTTCACTTCTTGTTCTGCAGCCCCTAAAAGCTGGACTCCTCAACCAACCAGTCCCTCCTGGCCTGAAGATCTTGGCCCTTCCTGGGTCATCCCTGAATGGGCTGCTGTGGCTTGGGTGGCCACACCCTGCCTCTGGGCCTGGCATGCATTTTGGGTTGGGAGGGGAGGGAGGCCAGAAGCCCCACCCTTACACACACGTACACACACCAAGCACTCACTTCTCCTGCTGGATGGGACCCTTCACCCACTGGGCCTCTCTGCAGTACTTTAGAAGGGGACTCAAGAGTTCAAGAGATGCTCGACTGGATGAACTTTTAGGAAAGAGGTTGCAAACTGTCATTCCAGGAGCAGGAGTCAGCCTGCAGATGAATCTTGTTTGTCCCTCACATTGTGGTTTTTTTTTCTTTCTTTCTTCTTTTTATTTTTAAATCAAATGAATTGCTATATTTAAAAGCCAGGAAATAAGGACTTTCTGGCTTCTTTTAAAAAACCAGAGTATCTAGCCACTCTGAGCCCACACCCTTACAAGCAACGAGAGAGGCTGGAGCTGAGGAGCAGACGCTCACTGTATTAGTATGCAGTCTTTAGTTCACCACAGTCCCCACTACTTCCTGTCGCCTTACACTCAGACTCCTTCACATAGCTTGTTTGGTGTCCTGTGTTAAGGTCCCCATGGCGGGGACTATGTCTTACATTTCTTTTTACTTCTACCAGAGTTGCATGGATTGTATATTTAATACATGCTTGTTGTTTTGAACATCATTAGCTGTGTCAACTTGGTAAGTCACTTAAACTTTCTTTCCCTTGCTTGCTGTATCTCCCAATTCTTACCTTCAAGCATCGTTCATTAGTTTTTCTATTTCTGAATTTAAGCGACTTCAAGCAGAAAAAAAAGAGAACAAAAATCAAACCAACCATTCCCAAATTTGTCTGACCATCAAAACAACTTGGGAAACTTCTTAAAAATATAGGTTTCCAGACCCTACCCCAG